TTCCCCTGACACTCTCTGTGACCCTACAACAATCCACGGGGGCGGGCCAGTCCTGCACAGCTTTACACGCTCCCCTGAGCTTCCAAGAACTCACAGAACCAGCCACGTCATACTGTCCCCCCCAGAGACCGACACAGTCTAAAAATGCAAACAGATGCAAAGAGGGCCAGCTTATCTCAAGAACCACAAAGCCCAAAGGGGCCACTGGGGGCCTAAGAGTCTCTTCACCCTTTTGGGGGTGGTGTCTCAGAGGGAGCCTGGGGCTCCCTCAGAACTGCTATCTGGGACGGCTGCACCTCAGGGATTCTTGGTGGAGGGGTGGCCGAGGCTAAGTGTATGGGACGAAGTGGTAGGAAGGAGGAAAGGGAAGGGAAGGTGAGGGTGGGACAAATTACACCCCTGCCATCATCCTACAGGAGAGTGCATGGCCTCTTGCCCACACCACAGCATTACCCTCCTCCCACTGACGGGTACCTGGCCCAGATCTGGATGAGCAGGGGGCTGAGTCCCCAGGGCCACCCCTGTCTAAGAGCTGACCGTTGTTCCCTTATCCTGTACACTGCCAGCAACTGCTGTTCCCTCTGTGAAGACTGCCTCTCCCCCTTCTTTATCTGACTGGCCCCTATCTATCCTTCAATGCTCGGCTCAGGCATCACCTCCTCCAGGAAGCCTTCCCTGATTGCACAGCCTGAGTAACGTGCTCTGGTACTCTCTGGGCTTCCCTTGTCTAGCATAGGTGACAAGGTCTCTTTACTGGCCCAGCTCCCCTGCTAGTCTGTGAGTCCCCCAGGACAGGGGCTGTGTCAGGCACTGTTGTGTCCCAGGGCTTAGTGGAGTCTGGCATCCAGGAGGTAATTGTTGGGCCCTCCAGCAAGCCTTTGGTGTGGCTGGGTCAGGAGTGGGTGATGGGCCCCAGGGTTCCGGAGATGGGCCTGGGGTGGTGACTCACCCTCCCCCAGCTGCAGGGCAGGGTCCATGAGCTCCATCATGTACTCCACGTTGAGAAGCATCTCCGTGAGGTTGCTGCGGGCCAGCACGTACATGAGCACCGGCAGGAAGTCGTCTGCCCCGTAGAACTTCCCTGGGAGAGGAAGGAGGCAGAAGGTGGTGAGTGTGAGGCTCTCCTTGTGAGCCGCTCCCTGCCCAGGGCAAGGGGACGGTGGTTTGCTGGGTGGGAGGTGGTCACCCCTGGAAGAGGAACCTTCCTGTTTTCTCCTGACTCTCATGACAGGGGGCGACCCTGGGATCAGCCTGGTTGGGAGGCCTGAGACACAGTCTGGGTCTAGGAAGAAGGAACTGAGAAAAGTGCCCTCTGCTGTGTGGGCAAGACCCAGCCCCTTCCTCTTTCCCAGCTCTTCCCCTGCAACACCTTCAGTCAAGTTCACATCACACTTATTCATGGAAGCACCCAGAAGCAGATGTCTGTCTAACATTGACGTCTTTTGGGAACCACACATCTCTCTCTCCACTTGCAGAAGTGAAGCCCTCCCTCGACCAGATGCTACCAGGCCTAAAGTTTCCTCTCCAACCTTCATTCTTTTGAGTTAAGCAGTGCCCTTTCCCTAGGGTTTCTTCTAAAACGTAAATACCTCTGAAAGGAATAACTTATCACTACTGCTTTTGTGGGAGATGTTCCCGGGGCTCAGAGCCCCTTGACAGTAATAGATACCTTGGGGAAGGAGCGGGGTGAAGATGGGCCTAAAAGATACCCTGAGGGCCTTTCACGTTTTTTGAGAGAATGAAATGAGAAAAAGAATATGAAAGTGATTCGGTACCCATGGAGCGCAATGGAAAAGTGAGCTATTATTGACATCTCTGTTCTGCTTTCTCAGGTGGCCTCAGTTTTTCCACCTGTAAAATGAATCGGCTGATGGTGTTGGTAACATCCCAAGGGGGTTCCTCGGATTGTGAACTCCCTGAAGGCAGGGTTGGAGGCTATGTGAGCTCAGGCAAGACACTTAACCTCTCTGAGCCTCTGCCCCATCACTGCCTTCCCAGTCTCCGGCACAGGGCTTGGGATGTAGGACACCGACAGTGAGCTGAACTGGACCCACATGTGCTCCAACCAGGCACCACTCTGTCTTGCTCATGGTTGGAGCCATGGTCAAGGAAACTAGGATCCATTACGGGCCTTAGACAGTTGTGTGACGGGAATCCTTAACAACCGGCTCTCCAAAGGAAAAAAAAAAAAAAGCTCTGATGTGCAGCATTTGCCAATTTGCATGGCATAAATCTTTCCACAATGGCCAACTTCAAGCTACCAACATGAACATGGAGTGGGGAAGAGATGCAGACGGCTAGCTCCCATGAGATGGTTCGTATCATCGCTGACTTAGCACACCAGTCGCCTTGGATTCATCAAGTCCAACCTCACTGTGAGGAAACTGAGGCTCAGGGATGGGAGAAATTTGCTCCAGGCCCCACAGCTGGTCAGCAGAATCTGGGTCTCTCTTCCCTGATGTGGTGAGAAATGCCCACACAGGATCCCTGACCTGAGAGCTATTTGTGGACAAACATAAGCTTTAAGCATCATTTAAATGCACTGGCTCCCACCCGACATCCTAGGGATAGTTAGCATTCTCCTTCCCTGAAGCCTGGAGCCCAAGGCTTAGGGCTCGGGGCTCAGCCCTGTACACAGTGGGGCCTCAGGCAGCAACACTGGGAGGCTGGGGCACAGCTGCAAAATAATTCACCTGTGGTCGAAACATCTGTCTTGCGTGGATCAGGGATCGCATCCATCAGGCTGTACCTCTGAAAGGCCTGCTGGGCTGCAGCCTGCATTTCCTGCTGCTTCCTGCTTTCTTTTTGCCAAAGTCACATCTGTTTTCCATCTGTAGATGTTGGGGGAGCCGATTATATTTTAAAGAGCTGGCTGGGGGCCTCATGCGTGTTTCATAAGCTGGGGGATTTTGGAGAAGAGCTGCCTGCTGATTCCTGCTTTCTTTTTGCCAAAGTCACATCTGTTTTCCATCTGTAGATGTTGGGGGAGCCGATTATATTTTAAAGAGCTGGCTGGGGGCCTCATGCGTGTTTCATAAGCTGGGGGATTTTGGAGAAGAGCTCTGATAAAAATGAGCTAAAGCGTCGTGCACACCTGGGTCACACAAACCGCGAGGACGCTGGATTAGGATGCCCCTGACTCGGCCACTTAACCAGCTGTGTGATCTGGGGCCACTAACTCTGAGCCTCACTTTTCTTATCTGCAAACCAGAGGTAATAACAAAACTCAGTCTGCTACTCAGAGCCCTTGTGAGCGTCGAACAAGTGGCTGGATTAAAAATAAAGTTTTGTCTTCTAGGAAGCATTTTCTCAAAGAGGGGTTGGCAATTTTTTTCCGTAAAGGGCTGGATAGTAAATATTTTTAGTTTCATGGGCCACACGGTCTCTGTCCCAACTATTCGACTCAACCATTGTACAAAAGCAGCCAGAGACACTGTGTAAATGAATGAACGTGGCTGTTTCAATAAAAATTTATTTACAAAATCAGGTGGCAGGCCAGAGTTGGCCTGCAGACCCCAATCTAGAGGAAAGAATCTCTCATCTTATCATAACTGCCCCTTGGAATGTGTTGACTGGGCTCTTACTGAAAGTGGGTGTGGCTGGTGCAACGATCCTGGGGCAGCACACGGCTGCTTTGGCTCTAACCCTCTGCCACGATTCCCACCTGAAGCCACTTCCTTCCTCCAGGAAGTTTTAACCCAAGACCCCCACTCCCCGCCAGCTAGGTTCAGTGCCCTTATAACGAGTTTCCCTGGGCTTGTCGTTGAAGAATGGAAAAACAAATACATGTTAACTCAGAGAGGCCTCCCCTGACTTCCCAACCCAGAACAGCAAACTAATTCACACTCCCCAGACCGCTTAGCCTGTTTTATTCATTCTAGTGGCCTGTTTCAGCATCTGATGATATATATTTTGTATTTCTGTTTCCTTGTTTATTAGCTGTCTCTCCCCAGGTAATAAAAGCTTTATGAGGGCAGGGACTTTATCGTGCTCACTGTTTATATCCAATGCCTCAACAGTAGTAGGTGTTTAATTAATATACTTGCTAAATAGGGCTTCCCTGGTGGCGCAGTGGTTGAGAATCTGCCTGCCAATGCAGGGGACTCGGGTTCGAGCCCCGGTCTGGAGATCCCACATGGCGCAGTGGTTGAGAATCTGCCTGCCAATGCAGGGGACTCGGGTTCGAGCCCCGGTCTGGGAAGATCCCACATGCCGCGGAGCAACTGGGCCCGTGAGACACAACTACTGAGCCTGCGTGTCTGGAGCCTGTGCTCCGCAACAGGAGAGGCCGCGAGAGTGAGAGGCCCGCGCACCGTGATGAACAGTGGCCCCCGCTTGCCGCGACTAGAGAAGGCCCTCGCGCGGAAACGAAGACCCAACGCAGCAAAAATAAATAAATTAATTAATAAACTCCTACTCCCAACATCTAAAAAATAAATAAATAAATAAACTTGCTAAATGAATGAATGAATATCATTTATCTCACTGCACGGTTGTCGCCTGTTGAATGCTCTGTTTTTCCACTTGAACTGTGACCATCGTAAAAACAGGGGCTGGGTTTTCCTGTTCACATCCATACTGTCAATAAATGCTTGTTGAACTGTTGAATGAATGAACTTATCTGATAAAAACACAGGATGGCAGGAAGTAGAAAGCCTCTGGAACAGGAGGTTTTAAATTTACTTTTGCAGTGGAATCCTTTCGTTAAGGCGTATATCTTACACAGAGCTTGGCTGCTCTGGTTGATCAGAGTCGGGCAGCAGGGCTGGTTTGCTGTTTCCTCTCCTCCCCCCTTCCCCTTGCAAGATGTCCCCAGTCCCTCGAGTCCCTCGAGAGTTCTCCAGGACCAGCTGGAAAACCACTGGTCAAGTTTGAACTCCCAGCTGCACGGATGAAAGAGCTGGAGCCCGAGGGAGGGAGGTTCCCTGTAGTCTGTGGCTGACGTGAGACGAGAAGCCAGCCTCTCTCTCACTGAGCTTCCCAAAGCGACCCTGTTGGGTTGTTTGTGCTTTTTGCAGATGCTGCTTAAGTCTCGGTTCTGCTTTGAGCAACAGTGGATCCCTGAGGAAATCACTCCAGCTCCCTGGGTTCCTCTTCGGAGAGCTCAGCCCACAAGCCAGTCAGCCACACAGGCTGTGGGTGCAGACCAGAAGCCAAAAGTCCCAGCCTGGCTGGAAAACGCATGAAGCCACTGCGATTGGGCCTGGCCTCCCTGAGGTCATCTCTGACCCCAGGGCACCCTGGAGAGGCAGGATGACACAGCAGTCCCGCACAAGACCTGGATCCAAGTCCCAGGGCCACCACTCACCTGCTCAGGTGTGACCCTGAGCTTGCTGCTTCACCTTGCCGAGCCTCAGTTTCCTTGGCTGTAAAATGGGGGTAACAACAGTGCCCACACCTCGTGGGGGTGGCTGTGATGTTTCAGTGACAAGACAGATAGAAAGTGATTAACAGGGTGCCTGCTGGGTTATTGGACTGTGAGAAATGTTACACACGGTCATTATGCAAGACAGGAGGGTAACGTGGCTTCTAATCCTCAGAACATGACATCTTAGAGGTCCTGAACCCCATTTCTGTTGTGGGCATAAAAACAAGGTCATGCTTTGTTTCCAGGCCGGGCACATATGTTCTCTGTCTGTCTGTCTCTGTCACCTGCATGTCGATGCCCAGGGGGACTTAGAAAGCCTCCCTCAGCCTGGATCCCTGGATGCTATATGGAGCAGAGCCCACTCCCCACTCCCCAGCCCTCCTCCATCCAATTGGACTTCCATGCGTGAGAAATAAATTTGTACTGAGTTAGAGATTGCAGGGTTTATCTGTTATAGCAGAAAGTATTTCCTTAACTATTTATCTCTTTACCTACCTATCTATATCTACTTCAAAGAGACCAGATAGAAATCTACCACAATACTAGTCATCTTTTTCTACAATAAACATTAGTGACTTTTGTCATCAGAAATCAGTTTAGATTTTTTAACGTCGATTTTTAGAAACCAACAGACTGACCTCCACTCTCTGTCCTGTCTACCCTCAGTCAACGTCATAGGCCTGTCGATCCCTGCACCTGGGGTCTCCCAACCC